GTGAATGTCGTAGAAAAGCTTGGGGGGGGGGGGGGGGGGATTCACAGGTTTAAAATGGCAATATTTTTCCTTTATCCATGATATTATAAAAAAATGTTAGTATTTGACCCCAAAAGCCCCATGTTTTCTTCCTTAATGAGATGTTGTTTTCTTCCTTAATGAGATGTTGTTTCCTTCCTTAATGAGATGTTGTTTTCTTCCTTAATGAGATGTTGTTTTCTTTCTTAATGAGATGTTGTTTTCTTCCTTAATGAGATGTTGTTTTCTTCCTTAATGAGATGTTGTTTTTCTTCCTTAATGAGACATTGTTTTCTTCCTTAATGAGATGTTTTCTTCCTTAATGAGACGTTGTTTTCTTCCTTAATGAGATGTTTTCTTTCTTAATGAGACGTTGTTTTCTTCCTTAATGATATGTTGTTTTCTTCCTTAATGAGATGTTGTTTTCTTCCTTAATGAGATGTTGTTTTCTTCCTTAATGAGATGTTGTTTTCTTCCTTAATGAGACGTTGTTTTCTTCCTTAATGAGATGTTGTTTTTCTTCCTTAATGAGACATTGTTTTCTTCCTTAATGAGATGTTTTCTTCCTTAATGAGATGTTGTTTTCTTCCTTAATGATATGTTGTTTTCTTCCTTAATGAGATGTTGTTTTCTTCCTTAATGACTATGTGATAGTCCGTGGCTTACATCCTCTTGTTGCTGTATATTCTAGGCCATGTTATAAGAACTGGAATGCTCGCTGCCATTATTAATTACCCTTACTTTTCAGTCAGTGCTCTAAACATCTGAAACCTATCTTGTAGCTCATACTGGTTATATTATGTAGAACAATACCATAACCATAATAGCAGAACACAATAATCCTAAGATTGCTTGGGATGGAACTGCGAGACTGCTAAAAGTGGGACAGATAATTATTTCTCAAACTGAATTATTTGAACCGTTTCAGACATGTGGACGAGGCCTTAGAGGAGTTCCTGCCTCATTTAGTTGTCTACAATGCAGGTACAGACATCTTAGCTGGTGACCCCATGGGAAAGATGGCAGTGACAGCCCAGGTAACAGACATTGTGTCTGTCTGTTGTTGAATAAACGATATTGTGTGTCTATTGTTGAATAAACAACATTGTGTTTGTCTGCTGTTGAATAAACGAAATTGTGTGTCTGTTGTTGAATAAAAGACATTGTGTGTGTCTATTGAATAAAAAACATTGTGTTTGTCTGTTGTTGAATAAACGACATTGTGTCTCTCTGTTGTTGAATAAATGACATTATGTCTCTCTGTTGCTGAATAAATGACATTGTTTCTGTCTGTTGCTGAATAATCAACATTGTTTCTGTCTGTTGCTGAATAAATGACATGTCTGTTTCTTGTTGAATAAATGAAATTGTGTCTTTTTGTTGTTGAATAAATGACATTGTGTCTGTTTTGAATAAAAGACATTGTATTTGTCTGATGTTAAATAGAAAACATTGTGTCTGTCTGTTGTTGAATAACAGATATTATGTGTGTCTGTTTTTGAATTAAAGATTTTGTCCTTGTCTGTTGTTGAATACAAGACATTGTGGCTGTCTGTTGTTGAATAATAGAATAATAGATATAGTATGTGTCTGTGGCTTAGGCGTTATGAACGCGCTTCATAATGCCGGTGTGCCGGGCTTGATCCCAGCTGCAGGCCTTGCATTGGTTTCGACAGTGGTATCGAGAAGCCGACCGTCCAGAAAGCAGTGGCAAACTACTGGATGTAAACTTGCCTAGGAAAACCACAAAAGCCAAAAAATGCTGGGGTTGGTTCTGCAACGTCCTGTAAAGGATATTCAACTAACTTATATGTCTGTGGTTAAATAACATGTGTTGGTACATTGCTTGATAGTTGTAGCACAAAAAGTATATCAACTTGGAAAAATTCAGCACTTTCTGGGCGAAAATACACGTAAAATATTTTACGTATCCTACATTCAAACGCATATTGACTATTGTTCCACAATTTGGGATGGCTGCTCCTAATCTAATGTCTAACAGCTGAGTTCTCTACAAAATAGGACCTTACGCCTAGTTTCCGATAGAAAATACGCAGAGAAAAATCTTTTATATGGACATCTAAGGCTTCTGCCATTTAATAAATGTTTAATTTTTAATAAGGCCAAATTTATTCACAAAATCCTATCTAAAGATACTCCAAATTACATCGACCAATTTATTCAATCTAATCCTAAGAATAGCAAGTGAATAGGTTTATTACATTTGCCTAAACCCAGAATTGATTTATTTAAAACAAGTCTATCATATTCTGCTGCTCATTTATGGAACCATCTTCCACTCGATATGAAAACTACAAAAAGTCCTTACTCATTTAACCGCAAACTCTTTCATTTCATGATTATCAGTGATTACATGCCACCTTAAATGTAGTTAATAATCCACAATGCATTACTAGTTATAATTAATTGCAGTACGTATGATATGTTTGTATGCGTATATATGTGACATGCAGGCGTGTGTAGGCGTATTTGTGTATGTATAATTCTGTGTATGCATGGGTAACTGTATATGTTTGTGTGTATGTATCTGTGTGTAGGCGTGTGTCTGTGAGTGTGTCTGTTTGTCTGTATGGTGTCTGCGTGCGTGTCTGTGTGTGTCTGTGTGCGTGTCAGTCTGTGTTGTGTGTCTGTGTGTTGTTTTTAAATGTCTATCTGTATGTGTGGCTGCGTGTGTGTCTGTGTGTGTGATTGTATGTGGATATGTGTGGGTATGGCTTGGCTGCATGTTTGTCTGTGTATGTGTGTATCTATGCTGTGTCTGTAGGTGTTTCTGCGTGTGTCTGTGTGTCTATGCCTGCGTGTGTCTGTGACTGTATTTCTCTGTGTGTTGCTTCGTGTGTATTTGTATGTTCATCTTTTTGATAATGTGTGTGTGTGTGTGTGTGTGCGTATGCATGTCTGTGAGAGTATTTGTGCGTCTGTGTGTGTGTTAGTATGTGTTTGTGTATGTCTCTGTGTGTCAGTGTGTGTGTGTGCCATTATGTGTCTGTAGGTGTGTATGGCTGCATGTGTATCTGTGTTTGTCTGTGGCTGTGCGTGGCTTTGTGTGTATCTGTGTGAGTCTCTATCGGTGTGCTTATTATATAATGTCTGCGTGTCTCTGCTTGTGTCGGGTTATGCGTCTGCGTGTATGTCTGTGTGCGTATGTGTGACTGTGCGTGTCTGTGTGTGTATACCTGTGTATGTGTGGGTGTTGCGTATGTCAATGTGTGTCTGTTTCCCTGCCTGCGTGTGTGTATGTGTTTGTATGTGTGTGTGCCCGTGACTGTATGTGTGTGTGTCTGGGTTGTATGCGTGTGTGTTTTAGAGCGTGTGTATGAGTGTATGTTTGTATGTATGTATGTATGTTTGTATGTATGTATGTGAGTTTGTAAGTATGTATGTTTTTATGTATGAATGTATGTGAGTTTGTATGTATGTATGTTTTTATGTATGTATGTATGTATGTATGTATGTATGTATGTATGTATGTATGTATGTATGTATGTATGTATGTATGTATGTATGTGAGTTTGTATGTATGTGAGTTTGTATGTATGTATGTATGTATGTATGTATGTATGTATGTATGTATGTATGTATGTATGTATGTATGTATGTATGTATGTATGTATGTATGTATGTATGTATGTATGTATGTATGTATGTATGTATGTAAGTAAGTATGTATGTATGTATGTATGTATGTATGTATGTATGTATGTATGTATGTATGTATGTATGTATGTATGTATGTATGTATGTATGTATGTATGTATGTATGTATGTATGTATGTATGTATGTATGTATGTATGTATGTATGTATGTATGTATGTATGTATGTATATGTGTGTGTATGTATATGTGTGTGTGTATGTATGTATGTATTATGTAAGTTTGTATGTATGTATGTATGTATGTATGTATGTATGTATGTATGTATGTATGTATGTATGTGTGCATGATCGTATGTATGTAGATGTATGTGTGTACTGGGTGCCTATGTGTTTGTGTATAAGTGAGTGATTTGGCTTGTGTGTGTATGTGGGTGTGTGTGTTTGTGCGTGAGCATGCGCACATATTTTACCACCCATGCTTTTGTTTTTGACTTTATATATATAATATGCATATTATTACATAAATATAACATGCTTCATTGATGAAATACAACTTCTGTGCAAAAGATGGAAGTTTGGAAGGGCCGAATGTAAGACAGGCCTGCGTGCCTAATTTCTAACCCTTTGAAAATAAAGTTTGTTCGTTCGTTCGTTCCTCTCATTACTTACCCTTTACGCTGGCATGACCATGTTGTATGCAGATCCAAGTGTGGGTAAAGAGGGAACCCAGAGTATGACGACTGATAAGAGTATTTCTTGCAGTCTTTCCATGTCTCTTAACAGTCTAGGTCTTGATGTCACTGCAAATGAGTTGCCCCATTCCTGTACCAGTAAAAATTACATGAAATGCCTCTCACACTTCTATTAAAAAATTTTAAACTTTTGTGTTGTAAATTATCGGTGCTAACTGTAAAAACATGTAGTAAACTCACAAGGCAGCTTTAGAAGCCTCCTTGTGTTTTGTTCTCCTAACAAAAGCTTTATTCTGTACAATCTCTGTTGGGCATAATGACATTCTTCAAATGACAAATATCAGAACTTCCGCCAAGACTGTTTTTGTTTAAGTGCTGTTTCTGTTTAAGGCTGTCATCGAGCGGGACCAGATAGTCTTTCAGCGATGCAGAACTCAAAACATTCCCATATTTATGTTGACCAGTGGGGGCTATCTACGAGATGCTGCCAAAGTTGTCTCTGACTCCATCCTCAATTTGAGAAGTCTGGGATTGATCACCTGTGATGCAGCCGAGTCAGTGTCTGAGGTTCACATTGAAGGTAAGACAAGGACAGGATTTCCTTAAAAGTTGGAATGTATCTGCCTGAGAGGCAAGGAACCATCACTCCGGCCACCTTTACTTCCCTGGACTTTACCTGGTGCCTAAGTTAGGCTTGGTCAGCCTGGTGCCTAAGTTAGGCTTGGTCAGCCTGGTGCCTAAGTTAGGCTTGGTCAGCCTGGTGCCTAAGTTAGGCTTGGTCAGCCTGGTGCCTAAGTTAGGCTTGGTCAGCCTGGTGCCTAAGTTAGGCTTGGTCAGCCTGGTGCCTAAGTTAGGCTTGGTCAGCTTAATGCCAAAGTTAGGCTTGGTCAGCTTGGTGCCTAAGTTAGGCTTGGTCAGCCTGGTGCCTAACTCAGGTTTGGTCAGCCTCGTGCCTAAGTTAGGCTTGGTCAGCCTCGTGCCTAAGTTAGGCTTGGTCAGCCTGGTTGCCAATATCATTTTTTAATTGGTAAATCTGACTTGGATTCAAACTGGGGACCTTTGGACCAGCAGGCACAGACATGCATGTTGGTAACTGAGCTCTTGTTACCAGACATGCTTGTCGGTAATTGAGCTCTTGTTACCAGACATGCATGTTGGTAATTGAGCTCTTGTTACCAGACATGCTTGTTGGTGATTGAGCTCTTGTTACCAGACATGTTGGTAATTGAGCTCTTGTTACCAGACATGCATGTTGGTAATTGAGCTCTTGTTACCAAAAATGCATGTTGGTAATTGAGCTCTTGTTACCAGACATGCTTGTTGGTAATTGAGCTCTTGTTACCAGACGTGCATGTTGGTAATTGAGCTCTTGTTACCAGACATGTTGGTAATTGAGCTCTTGTTACCAGACATGCATGTTTTTAATTGAGCTCTTGTTACCAGACATTCTTGTTATTAATTGAGCTCTTGTTATCAGACATGCATGTTGGTAATTGAGCTCTTGTTACCAGACATGCATGTTGGTAATTGAGCTCTTGTTATCAGACATGCATGTTGGTAATTGAGCTCTTGTTACCAGACATGCTTGTTGGTGATTGAGCTCTTGCTACCAGACATGCATGTTGTTAATTGAGCTCTTGCTACCAGACATGCATGTTGTGATTGAGCTCTTGTTACCAGACATGCTTGTTGGTAATTGAGCTCTTGCTACCAGACATGCATGTTGTTAATTGAGCTCTTGTTACCAGACATGCTTGTTGGTAATTGAGCTCTTGTTATCAGACATGCATGTTGTTAATTGAGCTCTTGTTACCAGACATGCATGTTGATAATTGAGCTCTTGTTACCAGACATGCATGTTGATAATTGAGCTTTTGTTACCAGACATGCATGTTGATAATTGAGCTCTTGTTACCAGACATTCTTGTTGATAATTGAGCTCTTGTTACCAGACATGCATGTTGATAATTGAGCTCTTTTTACCAGACATGCTTGTTGATAATTGAGCTCTTGTTACCAGACATTCTTGTTGGTAATTGAGCTCTTGTTACCAGACATGCATGTTGATAATTGAGCTCTTGTTACCAGACATGCTTGTTGGTAATTGAGCTCTTGTTACCAGACATGCATGTTGGTAATTGAGCTCTTGTTACCAGACATGCATGTTGTGATTGAGCTCTTGTTACCAGACATGCTTGTTGATAATTGAGCACTTGTTACCAGACATGCATGTTGATAATTGAGCTCTTGTTACCAGACATGCATGTTGTGATTGAGCTCTTGTTACCTGGCATGCATGTTGTGATTGAGCTCTTGTTACCAGACATTCTTGTTGATAATTGAGCTCTTGTTACCAGACATGCATGTTGATAATTGAGCTCTTGTTACCAGACATGCATGTTGGTAATTGAGCTCTTGTTACCAGACATGCATGTTGTGATTGAGCTCTTGTTACCAGACATGCTTGTTGGTAATTGAGCTCTTGTTACCAGACATTCTTGTTGATAATTGAGCACTTGTTACCAGACATTCTTGTTGATAATTGAGCACTTGTTACCAGACATGCATGTTGTGATTGAGCTCTTGTTACCAGACATGCATGTTGATAATTGAGCTCTTGTTACCAGACATGCATGTTGGTAATTGAGCTCTTGTTACCAGACATTCTTGTTGTGATTGAGCTCTTGTTACCAGACATGCTTGTTGATAATTGAGCACTTGTTACCAGACATGCATGTTGATAATTGAGCTCTTGTTACCAGACATGCCTGTTGTGATTGAGCTCTTGTTACCTGACATGCATGTTGTGATTGAGCTCTTGTTACCAGACATTCTTGTTGATAATTGAGCACTTGTTACCAGACATGCATGTTGATAATTGAGCTCTTGTTACCAGACATGCATGTTGGTAATTGAGCTCTTGTTACCAGACATACTTGTTGATAATTGAGCTCTTGTTACCAGACATTCTTGTTGGTAATTGAGCTCTTGTTACCAGACATGCATGTTGATAATTGAGCTCTTGTTACCAGACATTCTAGTTGATAATGGAGCTCTTGTTACCAGACATGCATGTTGATAATTGAGCTCTTGTTACCAGACATTCTTGTTGGTAATTGAGCTCTTGTTACCAGACATGCATGTTGGTAATTGAGCTCTTGTTACCAGACATGCATGTTGGTAATTGAGCTCTTGTTACCAGACATGCTTGTTGATAATTGAGCTCTTGTTACCAGACATGCATGTTGGTAATTGAGCTCTTGTTACCAGACATGCTTGTTGGTAATTGAGCTCTTGTTACCAGACATGCATGTTGATAATTGAGCTCTTGTTACCAGACATGCATGTTGTGATTGAGCTCTTGTTACCAGACATGCTTGTTGGTAATTGAGCTCTTGTTACCAGACATTCTTGTTGATAATTGAGCACTTGTTACCAGACATGCTTGTTGATAATTGAGCACTTGTTACCAGACATGCATGTTGTGATTGAGCTCTTGTTACCAGACATGCATATTGATAATTGAGCTCTTGTTACCAGACATGCATGTTGATAATTGAGCTCTTGTTACCAGACATGCTTGTTGTGATTGAGCTCTTGTTACCAGACATGCTTGTTGATAATTGAGCTCTTGTTACCAGACATGCATGTTGTGATTGAGCTCTTGTTACCAGACATTCTTGTTGATAATTGAGCACTTGTTACCAGACATGCTTGTTGATAATTGAGCTCTTGTTACCAGACATGCATGTTGTGATTGAGCTCTTGTTACCAGACATGCTCGTTGATAATTGAGCTCTTGTTACCAGACATGCATGTTGTGATTGAGCTCTTGTTACCAGACATGCATGTTGTGATTGAGCTCTTGTTACCAGACATGCTTGTTGATAATTGAGCTCTTGTTACCGGACATGCATGTTGTAATTGAGCTCTTGTTACCAGACATGCATGTTGATAATTGAGCTCTTGTAACCAGACATGCATGTTGATAATTGAGCTCTTGTTACCAGACATGCATGTTGATAATTGAGCTCTTGTTACCAGACATGCATGTTGGTAATTGAGCTCTTGTTACCAGACATGCATGTTGTGATTGAGCTCTTGTTACCAGACATGCTTGTTGATAATTGAGCACTTGTTACCAGACATGCATGTTGATAATTGAGCTCTTGTTACCAGACATGCATGTTGTGATTGAGCTCTTGTTACCTGACATGCATGTTGTGATTGAGCTCTTGTTACCAGACATTCTTGTTGATAATTGAACACTGGTTACCAGACATGCATGTTGATAATTGAGCTCTTGTTACCAGACATGCATGTTGGTAATTGAGCTCTTGTTACCAGACATGCATGTTGGTGATTGAGCTCTTGCTACCAGACATGCATGTTGTGATTGAGCTCTTGTTACCAGACATGCTTGTTGGTAATTGAGCTCTTGCTACCAGACATGCTTGTTGGTAATTGAGCTCTTGTTACCAGACATGCTTGTTGGTAATTGAGCTCTTGCTACCAGACATGCATGTTGTGATTGAGCTCTTGTTACCAGACATGTTTGTTGGTAATTGAGCTCTGGCTACCAGACATGCATGTTGTGATTGAGCTCTTGTTACCAGACATGCTTGTTGATAATTGAGCTCTTATTACCAGACATGCATGTTGGTAATTGAGCTCTTGTTACCAGACATGTTGGTAATTGAGCTCTTGTTACCAGACATGCATGTTGTGATTGAGCTGTTGTTACCAGACATGCTTGTTGGTAATTGAGCTGTTGTTACCAGACATGCTTGTTGGTAATTGAGCTCTTGTTACCAGACATGCTTGTTGGTAATTGAGCTGTTGTTACCAGACATGCTTGTTGGTAATTGAGCTCTTGTTACCAGACATGCTTGTTGGTAATTGAGCTCTTGTTACCAGACATGCATGTTGTGATTGAGCTCTTGTTACCAGACATGCATGTTGGTAATTGAGCTCTTGCCACCAGACATGCATATTGATAATTGAGCTCTTGCTTCCAGCATGAGATCACTTGTTGTCAGTGTAGTGAATTTGCTTGTCTTGTTAGCCTCAGTTATGTCTTCAGTAGTAATGAGTGCTGGCTGGTAAAATGCCAGGTTCTGTCTTAGTCCAGTCTTTGTTCAGCAAAAGCCTGACAATAAAACTACTTGTCTGTGGGGGAAATGAATAAAACAGTCATTTGAACAACATAACACATATGAACATAAGCATTTTATTGGGGGGGGGGGGGAGGGGGGGGGGGGGGGGGGGAGGGGGGGGGGGGGTCCCTCCTCCACAATGAAACAGTATATTAGTGTGACTGTTGGCAACTTTCTATCTGTGCAGACAACAGTGTTGGGGCATCTCCTCCACAATGTAACAGTATATTAGTGTGACTGTTGGCAACTTTCTATCTGTGCAGACAACAGTGTTGGGGCATCTCCTCCACAATGTAACAGTATATTAGTGTGACTGTTGGCAACTTTCTATCTGTGCAGACAACAGTGTTGGGGCGACATCTCCACAATGAAACAGCATATTAGTGTGACTGTTGGCAACTTTCTATCTGTGCAGACAACAGTGTTGGGGCGACATCTCCACAATGAAACAGTATATTAGTGTGACTGTTGGCAACTTTCTATCTGTGCTGACAACAGTGTTGGGGCATCTCCTACACAATGAAACAGTATATTAGTGTGACTGTTGGCAACTTTCTATCTGTGCAGACAACAGTGTTGGGGCGACATCTCCACAATGAAACAGTATATTAGTGTGACTGTTGGCAACTTTCTATCTGTGCAGACAACAGTGTTGGGGCATCTCCTACACAATGAAACAGCATATTAGTGTGACTGTTGGCAACTTTCTATCTGTGCAGACAACAGTGTTGGGGCGACATCTCTACAATGAAACAGTATATTAGTGTGACTGTTGGCAACTTTCTATCTGTGCAGACAACAGTGTTGGGGCGACATCTCCACAATGAAACAGTATATTAGTGTGACTGTTGGCAACTTTCT